CCCCCAACACCACTCGTTCCGTGACACTAAGGCAACACATCTCTCGAGTTAGCAGCCATGCTATCAGCAAAAATTTGGCTACAGGAAGAATAATGATTCATCATACACTCAAAGCACTGTCAAAACAACAGAACAGCACACTGCTATTTTAATCTTTTAAAGGTAGCAAGAGTTTAAAAAAAATTAAAAGCTTGTCTATAAAACTGAGACAAGCAAAAATCATAGTTCTGGTAACACATTTGGAAATGCACCTTTATTCATTAAAGGCTGGTATTTGAGGCAGCATTTTTTTCTTCAGAAGATAGAAAAGTTATGTGAGCATGAGCTAGTTACTTACCTTGACACATTGTGATTTAAATAGTCAGCATTATAGAACATATTTCAGAATAGCTAATCATTGTTTTTAAAATATTTAAGCTGGTTTATCTTGTACTCATTTTTAAAATATTCTAAAGTCATGTTTTTGGGAATAACCATCAAGGCACATTTTCATGAAATCCTTTATATTACAAATAGAAGACTTACATATGTGTCCTCCAAATAAAGTGTCAACAATAGTCAGAATATTTGTTTCTGTGTACATATCTATCATTGTCCCAATACCCACCGAGGAAATTGTTTCTCAATTAACAGTATCTGAAGGTTTGCAAATAATGGTGCAGATTCTGTCAAAATCTCTTAAGTATTATTTTTTCCCTCTGATGAAAGTGTTCTTATCATTCTTCCTCAGAATAATCATGTTACTACTGTAAATATGGGAAATTACTTCAGCCTGCTTTCTTTTCTTTCTGCTGCTTTTTGTGATCCTCTGATTTGTCTGAATCCATTTTGTCACCTGGAGCTCAAAACCATAGTGCTCTTTTAGGAAGATGTGACCTGAGTACAGCTACACAACATTAGTATGAAACTATGAACAGACTCAAGATGCATTTTTCCATTACTTCATTGGAAAGAGGAAAAACTTTTCCAGCCTAAAATAACATGATCTTCGGTAAGATGGTCACTTACAGCATGGTCAAAGAATAAGGTGGTGTTCTTCAGCTTATGCAGCATTATTTTCCTTTCTGTTCTTTATTAAAAGAAGCTTACAGTTCCCAGCTTATTTTTTTTAAGCAAAGAGAAAACATGTCTGATGCTAGACCAGTATACCAAATAGAAAGTTATCATTGTGGTGTACAAAAATCCCATGCTCCATTTCTTATACCTTCTGCATCAAGCAACATATTTATTTCCAGACATCCACTTGACTGTGCTTCTGGACTACCAGCACCAATTTTACACAATGCAATAAGCATTATTTAATAAAGTAATAATGTCCCCCCCCCCCCCACGCACAAATTTCTATATTTTTAATAAGAAAAATAAGAAAACAGGCAAAAGCAGGGAAGGGTAGGGGGTATCAGGTGAAAAACTCACAGAAATCTGCAAGGGAGAAAGGACACAAGGAGGAAAAAAAGTCCGGGAAGAGCGCTAAACAACTACGAAAGGTTTGGTTTTGTTTTCTCCTCACCTCGCCGCTCGCTCGCTGGACGAGCTGACACTCCTTCCAAGTCTCTCCCTCCCTTCAGCAAAGGCTACACGGAAGAGAAAACACACGTTGAAGCAAGCTTGCCCACAAAGCCCCCTCGCTTCCGTTTCCGCGAGGGGAGGGGAGTCAAGCATGACCTGGACCTGCGCTCCCACTACAGCCCTCGGTAGGAAGTAAAACACCTCCGTGGGGTTCCCCACCCCCATGCTCCAATCCCCGTCGGAAAAGAGGAGCCTGCCTTAAAGACGTAGGCTCCGGGGCGGCCCGCCAGGCTCACCGCACCGCACCGCTGGTCGCCGCATAAGTCCAATACTAGCCCAAATGTGCTGCGCGCGTAACGGCGGTTGCGGGAGAGCCCAGCTGTGCCAAAGAGGAACCTGCCCCTGCAGGCGTCCCCGCTGCCCTAAGGGATGGCCGTTTGCAGCTGGCCTCACATCACCCACTAGCTGCAGCCTTGTTTTCAAGGTACACTTTCCTCTGCTACTAGAGTCCCCAACCACTGCTTGTTAGCTCATTAGATACAGGGGAAGGGGCTAATGGGTTTAGCTTATGATAGAAAGTACCACCATCACCATTAAGCATCTAAAGATTTTTCCCACTACTTTCTTGACATCCAAAGAATCCAAAATACCAAATGAGTCATCTTGAAGGTTCTGAAATGCATCTTAAAAGCAAGACCAAATGCAGCTTTTTATTTATATTATAGCACAAAAAGTCCCTTCCTTAACCCTCAGTTAAGGATTTTAACCACTTGCTTAATATCTCTGCTGAATAAATTCAGGCTTTGATCTTCGATGGATGCTTGTGCAGCTCTTCCAACAGGATATTCAAACACCATTGTGATAGGAGAAGCTCCACTGCTGTCAGACATGGATGAGCGGAATGCTCAAGTTTCT